AAAGAGAAAGAAAATTGTTCAAAAGTTTCGACGTTCAGGTCGAGAATGCTTTGATGATGGTCTGAAGTCTTAACCACATCAAAAGCAATGGATGCAAAAGAGCTACACTAACCTAGTTCCCTTCTCCGAGTTACGTTGTTTTGCCCCATTATGTAGATGTAAACAAGAAATCTCCCGCTATAGAAGCACGCGTCACTGTTGAGCGACGAGATTTACAAGACGTGAGTGATAACCGTTCATTAGGTGAGGTGAGCCGAGACAAATTGTGCACACGTAATGCTCGTGACTTTGGGATAAGTCGACTGGAAACCAACAATGATGACGCCATTAGAATCAAGAAATTTGAAAATGCAGTCATAGAGAATTCAAATGGGATAAAATTCTAAGCGCCTGTTTCAACACATTCATAGAAAAATCTGATTAACTTATATGGCTTGTGGTTCATTCAAATTATGTTCGATATTCAAACTTACATGGTACATAACGTCTATCCAGATATTTTAAAACATACACTTTTATGTTGCTATGAGATCGTGACGGAATTCTAAAAGACAGATTATAATAAAAAATTTAGAGAAATGTAGGATTAGAAGCTGTAGAGAAAAGTTGCAATAACATTCCAATCACCAAGAATGCTAATGCATCAGTCTATACAATGTAGAGAATACGGGAGAAGATCAAGGACAGATATTAAAAAATTTCACAATAAATAAGATCACAACTGCTAAGATTTTATTTCCTAATAATTAATAAATTACCGTTTTATGTAAATATATCAGAAATATATATATAATTCAATTTAAAAATGTATACATATTTAAATTAGTAATAAGATACAATAGAAAATAAATTGACTAAAGGCGGCCCGGTTAATAATGCCGAAAATATCGAATATAACTAAAACCACTATAAAGCTAGTGGGTGGTACTTTACTGCTGTACTAAAAACATGTGAAATTAAAATTGCCTTTAACTACTCTATTGGTTACTACTTTGTAGAATAAGATGAGACAAACATTGCTTCAAACGTCATCTCTATGAAGTTAACTGATTGAGCACCTTGTGTCAAAGGCCTTTCCCAAGTCATAAAATACATACATTTACGTACTTTATTTTAAATGGCATGCGTTCAAATCTAAGTTTCTCTGCGCACAGCGAACTACATCTTTAAGCACTATTACAAAATAAAGACGGTGAAATGATAAAATGTCTTTCCATTTTTAACCTAAATAAATTTTTATTCTCACCCGTTTCTGGGGATCTGAATCTGGCAAATACATATGTACCATTTTCGAGTAACATGCTCTTTTTAAGTTTATTTAGATACTACTGATATATGATGAAGAAAAACATCGACTTAATATTCTTGGTTTCCGAACGATGTTAAGTATAAGTTAAATATTTTTTAACTTATACTTAGAACTAGCTTTTGCCCATGAAATGGTTCGCGTAGATTAGTGACTTCCTGCAGATTTTTGGTTTAAAATTATCTTAAGTTTTTCGAGTTCCAAACTATGTCTGTACCAAATTTTAAGCAAATATTTTCAGTAGTTTAAGCGTGAAGAAAATACAGACAGATAGACAGAGTTACTTTCGGATATATAATATTACTTAGTTTGGATAGTTTGGATTATTATTGTTAAATATTAAAAACCTTCCGCATAAAAAAAGGCCTTTGCTCAGCATTTAAAGAACTGATGGAGCTGATAAAGTCAAGTGAAAATATTTAATTAACCAACTGTTCCAAAATGACTTGAAACAAAGCCCATCTATTAGATTTTTAATATATTTACTTATATTACTATCACAGAGACGATTATCGTTAGGTACTTACCTACAACGGTAGTATAGGCTCTTGTCTAACTTCAGCAATTGTGTTGACAGCTACTACAAATTCGTTTGACAAATGTACCAATTTAAAAATCAATTCTACTGCAGTAATTCTGTCAGAATTATAACCGGGTTCTACACCGTGTCTATCAAGATTCATAGGGTTATCAATATGTTTAACTGCTATCTTTTTTAACCTTACGTCGTCGTGAACTAGAGCATGAAGCAGTTTGTATGTATGAGTGTGTGTAAGTAACTGCCCGTCACTGTTTAACAGTACGCTAACTAATATTTTCCGGATGACAGTTAAGTTGACAAAGTGTTCGTTGTTAGTGTTTAATTTTAAAATTATGCTCTGGTTGTTACTATAGTGAATTTGACTGTGTTTATTTAATTGAGTGTTTCAATCTTTTTTCTGCATAATTAATTTATCGCTATGTCATCATGCGGCGTTAAATGATTCTGATTCTTGTTTTGATAAACCTACATTTTATTCAAAACTTCAGTTTTATGGCGATTTAAAAACCCATCGTTGCTAAATATGACCAAACACTATTCGAAATTGAGGGTCAGATAAACTTTATATTTAATTTAGTTTAGAGAAATGAATATCTTTCAAACTAAATACGACGTCAAATGCAACATTTTTACGAAAAAACTAAATTTCTGTTAACTTTACATATTATTATGCACAAGTGCAGGCCTCCCCAAGTTACGGGCTGGTGACGGAAGTGCACGAAACCCTCACTTCCGGTGATGGCAACTGACCCGTTGCGACCGAAACGAACGCAGGAATAATATCAGTATTTTTAGAATCCTGTCCAAAAAATTGTATTATATCATTTTATTTGTAACGCATATTTTTGAACGCCGTTTTGAATTGATCCTTCCTAAAATGAATTCTGTTATTCTGGTGCGAATTGAGGATTTAAAAGTTTACTATTTTAATTATAACCATTAAAATAGTTATGAAAGATAGAAACACATTAAGTATATCAAATTCATTTTCGTTCTCTGGATTCCTTATAAACAGTGTTAGCTCAGTTTTGATAGTCTTTAAGTAAAATTAAGGATAATTTGCACGGGTCAGTTGGGTCTAATTACTCTCGTTCGTTGCTTGCAAATTCAAGTAAAAGTTAAAAAAAAAAGTCAAAAATCATTTATTCCAATTAGACCTTTACAGGCACTTTTGAACGTCAAAGAGAACGTTAAGAAATGTAATAGTGTGTTTCAAAACTACAGTAGTACATAGTGATTTAGTGACTTACGATAAGCTTTGGATTCTTGTTCATGTTGTATGTAAGTTTAGGTTCATCTAATTTTCTTGTTAGTTGAAAACTCAATTGACGAGCAAAATGTATTCTATTTTAACAATACAAAAGTTACATAGTTGCTTAGCAACTTATTAACGAGAAGCATTAGGCTTATATCACATGCGACCCACACCAACAAGCGAAAACTAGCTGCTCTGTGTTATATTTGACAAAAGATTGTCACACAGTTGCAAGTATTATTAGAAGGTAGATACAAAATCCTACAAAGAATCCAAGATTCCATTGTGAAGGTAACATCACAAACGCTAATAGACACGTTTATAAAAACGGACAATGATAAAGGATCGATTATACTAACGCAGTGTATCCCGACAAGAATGTGATTTTTTTTACTCTCGAGGTTCCCGGATGCCTTCGCCTTGATGACGACAAAAAATGATGCGATACTACGCATTCCGTTTCCTACAGAGATGACGATGGTGTAATATTTAGTTTATACATTATGCAGATAACTGAGAATTCCATTTTGTTGCGTAAATTGTTGTTTGTGAGCGCATCACGTTGGTGGTTGCAAGTATTTGGAAATGCATTATTACTTCATTGGAGACATTGCAGACGTGTGTTGGGTAATTGTAGCGATCTTGTTAAAAATGTCTGTTGCATATTTGATTCTAGGATTCATTTATGTCACATTCTTTTATATTTTGTTACGTTTTAGTGACTGATTTCGTTAAACCTGAGTGCTGTAACAAAGTAATCGTATTTTTGTTACATATTTTTTAAGAAAAAGTAACAAATTAGTAAATGTATTTAATAGTAATTCCTCGAATGCCCCAAATAAACAAAAAAACTAATCTTAACAACAATCACAAAAGTTTCATTAACTAGAAGTAAGAATATTATGCGATTTATAGACTTTCTAAGTGTGTCACGAGGAAACTCTTTTTTGGTTTGTCTTAAATTTTAAGTCATATTAACCTGGAGACTGGTTTTCTTATGGAATAAGAGGCAAAGGAGCATACGTATCACCTGATGATAAGTGATGAAACCTGCGGCACCACAGGAATCAAAGACTAGCCTTTTAAAAAGAAGTACGCTTGTTTCTTGAAGGTTTGAAGGTCGTGTCGGTTGGGAAATACGCATGTGGCGCATTCTACCCTCTGACTGAGCCTGAGCACTTTGCCATTGTATACTGTATGATACCATGGGCTTCATTCACTATACAAGTGGGAACTTAGATGAAATGGAATTTTGTGTTCTGTCTGCAGCGTTGGCATGTTTTGAAGTCCGTCTGAAATTCTTGGCGAGGTGTCAACGTGCCAATTTGACCCCGTACGTGCTTCCTCGGAACTTTCACTAGCTCAGCTATAAGACGGTGTTTATGAATGTTTTGTTACACTTTATCTACGTGCAGGTAAAGTAAGAGTGTAATCAGCTCAATGGCTACCAGTTCGAGATAGTTTTGCTACATATTTTCATTATGTTTATGACCTGTGTTATTGCAGTTTGTAGGTAAATGTGTATTTACCTTTCTCCAAATGATATGGTCGTTACGTTGTAAATTTTGTGTTGCCTACTTCTAAATTGTTTTAGGGATTTCGATGCAGTTTCTTATCATTAGTTTAGATTATGACAATTTCGTGACAAGGGAATGTCTTTGAGAAAGTTACAGGATGATGATGATTTTATGATGAGAAACTGTCTTTTGTTTAAGTTTTTAAATGTATTACTTGCAACGAAAAATAGCATACAATCATCAACCCTATAGGGCTCCGTCTGTGGAGGTCTATGGGATCTTTGAGGCTCGCGCGTAACGCAACGCGCCTCACGCACGGGTCTGGTCCACCCTTACAGTGACCGGAAATTGTGTCTCGATCCCCAACGCCCGGAGTGTTGCCTACCGCAGTGGTTGGGACGTGAGGAGGAGGATAGCTCCCTCATGCACTCCGTCTCCTTCTTTGCAAGGTTCTTTCAAAGCAGTTAGCTTCGCAGAAAGAGGGGATGCTCCCAGTCCCTCTCGCTCCACTCTATGGTCTCGACTAAGGCCGGGCGTATGAGGTCGCCGGCACAGATCGCTTCCCTGAGGACCTGGCGGTACACAGGCGGGTTCCAATCCTACATTTCATTTAAGCATTCCAATCAAACTTTTAAGCTTAAATCTCGAGAGCCTTCTCTGTATGAGAAGAGGCCTTTCAGCAGTTTTAGGTAAGGCTGATGATGATGGTTGTAAACAAAACAAACATATCTGATCGCCTGTTAAGGTCCAGAAGAAATAAATTATAAGTTTTCTATATATGTCTATTACCGTTATGTGTAACCAGATACCTATGGTATGTAGGTATGTATGTAGGTTATGTAGTGCACCCACGACTTGTGCTATCACTAATCATAATAGGAGCGTAACCACGTATCGCGATCGAGTGTCAGAAGTGGCGGCGGCGGCGGACCTAGTTTGTGCAACTTCCCTTAGAAAACGGTAAACTGTTGAAATATTAGGTAATGCCAAGGCAACGTTGCGCTTCACCAACAACCCTGGAATAGTTAATGTAAACTTTAACTGTTATATTTCAATGTAATCCTTTGCTTGTTATGTTACACATGTAACATTTCCAAAGCTTGAGATTATCGGGAGTTTTCGAAAAACCGCCCGCATGGTGAAACAAAACCAATAATTGCCGAAGAGTAGTATTAGTGAGTACGCCTTCTGCTTTGCGGGATAAAACGACGTAACTAACGAACCTCTTATATAGCACTCACCTCAAAATGTATCTATGAAGAGGCGTTCATATTTGCGTGTTTATTATATTTGATTATATTTGGAACACATCCTGTTTTTAAACACACGAACTGTTTTCTCTACCATTCAAACTTCTGGTCTCACTAATCATAAAAATATATTAATAGGTTCAAAATCTCTAGTATGAAAGAGTATGGATAATTAATTAGCCAGTAAATTTTTTGGACCCATCACGTAGCCCTTGGCGCACCCCTACAACTAAGGGGACGCGGGCGGTAACATTAAAAAGTATTGCATACTATTCAGAATAAATTATATATTAATGTAATTTTATATTACTTAATTAAGTACCGCAATGTTTTACATTCTTCGATTAGATTTATTGACAACGACTATTCTCTGCTGTACTATGATGGGCTTGCTTTAAACCTCTGATCTTTTCCCATTCTCCACATTTAAAAAGAGGTTAGGAGCTCGCATTTCAAATTTTTCAGGTTTATCAAAGGAGGTGCTGCTCTGATCTGTTAGTAGAATAATCTCTTATACGGCTCTTATGACATCCTGGGGTAGGTATTCACTGATTCTGAGAAGGCATGTACCTATGCAGTTACTGATTGACAGTTGGCTCCAGTACAGAGTCGTAGATTCGGTTGAAGTTTGAAACACGTCTAAGGTTTTTCTTATAAGATTGTTTGTAGGCACTCGATGGTGTATTGATAAGACAAGCAATAATTACTCCATGTAAATACCAATAGCTATCTTCATCCTTACTAAAATACCCTCACCCTCATACAATAATGTTACGAACCGTCGAAAAGGGAATAAAATATTTTGCAGCTTTCTAGAAAGTTCGCGTTATGAAATTTTCCACAGGCGGCTGCGGGGGTGGACGGACGGGGAAGCTTGTCCTGGAACTGCAAATGGAACATGGCAGCCAGGACATTATCGATTAGTACCGAGACAGACGAGCGATCGGCCACAGGTTTCTTGTACAGTTACTGAAATATTTTCTGTATATTACACCTAAACACAAACAAACTCTTCTTCATCAAATTCCATGATGATGCTGCTACTATGTGAAAAGGTAGGAGTAGTAACTAAACGCAAAAAATGTGCACTAGCGACAAGTCGCAGTCGCACGCTTCAGCTATCTTTGTAACCATTTTGGCTTCTAGCGGCGACATTTGTAGCTGTCACGTCTGGCTCGTCTGCTGCAACCCTTAGAGCAGCTCTAGTGCGCATGACATGTAACCTAGCCGCACCTAGGATACCTCGCCGCTATCGCCTCCTTGCAGTCTGCACCGCGCAGTTGCAATTTTATCGATCGCCTATTTTAGGACCTTGTTTTAGTCCCTATCCTGGATTTCCTTTGTCTAAAATAATGTAATTTTTAATCACTTCTTTGGGAAACAGTAGATTATAAATGCCTCATTTTTGTCTTCGGATTTTAATACAGCTAAACCTTGACATATAAAATCATAATCATGCGACTTTTCTGTATAGGTCACGTCTCTGTAGAAAATTTTCCTTGTGCTTGCTTGATTTTCTAAAATACTTTGATTTGGAAAAGCAATCTTTCTTTAGTCATCTCTCAGCGTACTACGTACGTACTAAAGTAGACTCCTTCTGTAGAAGAAGCATCTTTTAAAGATCATTCATGCGACTGCAACCACCATTTGTTTGATTTTATAACTTCTAAAATATTTTAATTTAACAATTAATATACTCGTTTACTCGTATCTTTCCTTGGCAAAAGTACATAGTTGAAGTCAAATTCTAATTTAAAAATAAAAAAAATGTTGTACCAACACGTGGTCTACCCGCCCAAGTATCTTTGTTTCCGAAATATGGTTCATAATTGTTGTTGAAGGGAGATACGTAACCTAATGAGTCTTTCCAAGGGTTTAAAACACTTTTGGTCTATAAGCCAGAGCCATTTTTGTTAAAGAAAATAACTCAAGCCTTGTTGCCATGCCACGCCCTTCCTTTGTTCTTGTAACTCATATACTACATCTTTAATCAATATGGTAATCCAAATTACTATTTTTTGTCTTATTCGGTCTTTGGCCATCATTTATGTGCAAAAGTTTATTATTACCTAAAATGTATTGATTCGTTATTATATGTATACTAGCGGCCCGCCCCCACTTCGCACGGGTCCAACTAATTGCTATCAAAGTGTGACATTTTCCTAATCTTCCCCTCTACTTTTCCCATATTTTTTTTGATAAGAACCTTCTCCTGACAATAACAAACACAACAAAAAAAGAATTAGCAAATTGGTCCAGGCGTTGTTGAGTTATGCGCTTACCAACACATTTTGCGATCCATTTTTATATATAAGATGTAGCTTAGCGCCACGCCCTTCATTTGTTCTCGTAAATTCGAAATTATTTTGTCTAGTATAAAAAAATTATCTACTGTCTTCTCTATCAAGTATATCATATAATAGCTTCATATGAACATTTTTCGCCACTATGCCGATTTAGGTACCCGAGCCTCAAAAATTCTTTGCCTCAATAAAATTGTTATGTTTTATCATTGCAATGCTGGAGTACTTAAATTACATTTGAGACTGCAAAATATGTCTTTGCAGACCATCTAGAGAACAATTAAAAAAATTTCAGAATCAACTAGTATCTATCTCTAATTAAGGCTTAAACGCGTCCTCACTTCTTTGTTTTAAAATTATATGTATATCGAGATTTCTTGTGGAAATGGCTTCGAAGTAATCAATGTCAGTCCAGATACCATTATTAAATTTGTGTGGTGTACAGCGTTGTGTTTCGCCGTGTGAGTGAGGTTAACGGAGGCCAAGTCTCTCCTCCTCCCCTCTCTCTTCCCAATCCTTGAATATTCGCAACCCTTATAGCTCCAAAAGGTCGGCAACGCACTCATAACTCCTTTGGTGTTCCATAGGCGACGCTGATTGCTTACTATCAGGTAATGCGTCTGCTCTTGTGCCGACTTATCCCATATGAATTTAAATTAGAAAGTAGGAAAAATAATAGTCTGTGACCAATAACAACCGCCATTTTTGTGTAAAGAAAACTTCCAAACTTTGTCTTAGGTCTTTTTATTAGTCATCGACTGTATCCTTAAAATAGCAATGCTATAAATCCCACCGTGACTTATAGGACTCAACAATTAGACTTCAGAACTTTCCCTCAATAGAAAAAAAGGATCAAAAGAAACGAAACTTTAATATGAAAAAGTTACGGTTGAATTTGCCAAAACAAACCCTATTCTGCAAACATTTTTACAACGGAACGTGTACCTGTTGCTGAGCGTGATAGCTTCATGTTTATAAGGTTGTTCAACGGAAAATGAGCATCTAGAATTATGGCTTCATTACTTGTTAAATGTTAAAAGGGTTTAGTTCAACAAATCTTTGTAATGGTCTTTCGGCGGGGGTATTTCCGAACCGATACGACCTTCAGACGGAGCCCCATAGGGCTGATGTTCAGCCGGGGTTGCGGGGTAAGCGCAATGAGGCACCGCGACTTCGGCCCAGAGCAGGAGAAGGAACAGGGGGGTTTTTAGCCAGTAAGAGTCTGACACTCCCTCCCGCCCGACCCTGGGCAGGAGAAGTCATTTGATGATTTTCCCCTCACAAAAAAAAACCTTTAAGAAATGTGCGTAATCCTTTTTAAAGAACCGACAACGCGCTTGTTGCTTCTCTGGTGTTGTAGGTGTCTATGGGCGACGCTAAACTCTTAACATCAGGTGATCCGTCTGCTCGTTTGCCTCGTATTACATATAATAAAAACTTTGGAGCTATAATTGTGAAGTTGGGAAAAATTCTTAGTTGCAACCTCAAAAAATCTGGTCAGGTTAGCCGATAGACTAAGTTCCATTCAAGAATAATCTTGAATCGCATTTTCACAAGCTATCCCACTGAGAAGTTAACTCAGCTGCGCACTTAAGTACATATTTGTCTACGTTTGGGACATGACAAAATTCCCTAGAAGCAGACCATATGGCTATTGGTGAGAGAGCCTCTTACTCAATAATGTGGTGACATCAAAGGCCCCAAAGGGATCAAAGGAATCACACTGTATCCACCACAAGATACCGACTTGAGCTTAGCAACAATGTATAGTACCACTCTTGGTATTGATTGACCTAGTTCACCTATCCATTTCTAACAAAACACTTCACATGTATACAATAACATTGCTTCTCAAGAACTCTTCAAAGGGATCAGACTTGTTTGGGCAATTTTATGCCTAATTATTAGGCACTTACGGCAAAAAATCCTCTCCAATTTTTCTAACGAGCTGTTGTGATACGGGTCACGTGTTTACTGTTGCTAACCAACTTATATTGTTTCGTAAACAACTATTGTTGAATGTTTATATAAGAATTCGCGGGAATT